ACGCCCATCCCTACCACCACGACGACAACCGTAACTCGGTTGCAGCTTGAGCGTTGAGTGGTCCGCTCCTTAGCGGCTGATGGCACTCCATGAAGTCTTGCGTTTATTGTTCAATTTCAAAACTGCCTCAGTCTATGCCCACCACGACAACGACGATTGCAACGACCACACCGGCAGCTTGTCTCAGAACAGCTCTGCACGGGTGGGTGAGAAGGCTCAGGTGTGATCAGCTGTTGACAGGAGGCTGATAGGTCTTGAGTCATTCAGCTGCCGGCACTGGTGCAATCTCCTAGTGTGTTCAACTGCTGTTGTCAATTTAAGTGCTACGAGCATGCCAACAGCCGTCAGAGAACTGTAGACAAGTCCGGCGTTGCCTGTGCAAGCCGGGGGGGCAGTTTCAGGTCGGCCTTTTGAAAGAAAAATAGGACGCTCGTGTTGGTGAACGCATGACTTCTTCACTTGGCTTGCATGGGTTGGGCATCGCATGTTGAGAGAAGGGATTTCTGGATTCACAGTTCCCTTGACCACTGAGACAACGACCCTCAGCCTCTCCGCGTGCGAGCTGTACCTGACGGCGCGCGACTTAGGCCGTCGTCGGCAGTCCATGAAGTTCATCCGTGTAGGCGCTGGTTCCAGCGAGATACTAGTAGTAGCGATGATTTGCTGGTTGCGTGCAGGGAGCATGTTGGGTTTGGGGACTGGTCCATGTGCTGCACAGGCCAATGTCTTGCGCCCAGTCGTCTGAGGAGAACCCCGACAGGGGCTGGCGCCAAGTGGGCCTTCCGGCTGAAGATGGGCCAACGAAGGACTTGCATCTCTTCCCCATGGTGCAGGTCGGCGACAAGACCTACTTGCATGGGGGTGTACAGGAGGTAAAGCAGTCGGGCCAACCAAATGTATTAGTGCAAGCGCATCCCGCGAACGTCTGGCCATCTCTGTCTTGGAGCAAAATCGAGTATCCGGAGAGTCGAAAGAACGGAGGTTTCAACCAGTATGGCCACGTCCTCGTGTGGACAGGCGAGTACTTCCTTGCCTATGGAGGACCTGGCTTGGGCTCTCTCTGTCAGAGGCTTCTTTGCGCGCGGAAATAGGGACCACGCTCTGCTAAATCCGATAAACCCGATAAACTTGATAGGCCCGATAAACCCGATAGGCCCGATAAGATAAGCTCGATCAACCCGATACAGCCAGAACGCCGGAAGATACTTATTCAAAAAATCACGGGCGCCCCATCAGTCCAAGGCCCCACCCTCGGAGATCAAGCTTTGTAAGAGCCCTGATTGAAAAATCAGGGGCGCCCCATCAGTCCGAGGCTTCATCCTCGGCAAGCCAATTCGTGCTCCTGTCCCAAGCATGAGTTTGATGATAGATTGGGGGTGCAATACACGCAGGATGCGAGGGTTCCAATACGTCAGGCCCGGGCTGTCCTTTGACAATAACGGTCTGAAGTCGAAGTGCGAATAATCAGTCTTCAGCGTTTCGGCTGATCATGAAGTTCAGGCCTGCTGCCCAGACCATACGCAAAACAGGGTGGTTTGTACACTACTGCTGGATGTAATGTAAAACATTATAATTCCACAACCGGTAGCCAGCAGTCGTCATCTTACACATCTATACATACATATAGAATCATATATATATATATATATGTTTACTTATTTATTTATTCATGGACATATGTGTATGTATGTTTGTATGTATGTATGTATGTATGTATGTATGTACGTACGTACGTACGTATGTATGTATGTATGTATGTATGTACGTAGGTATGTATGTCTGTATGTATGTATGTATGTTTGTATGTATGTATGTATGTATGTATGTATGTATGTATGTATGTATGTATGTATAATATACATTGGTACTTCAGCACCATGATCGAGGTGGAATCAGAGCAAATCAGCACTCAGCACAATCGGCGCAATTCAGCGCAACTCCGCAGTCGGCGCAATTCAGCGCAGTCGGTGCAACTCAGGGCCCAATTCAGCGCAAAGAGTGCAATTCGGCGCAAGTCGGCGCTATCAGCGCAATCCAGCGCAATCGGTGCATCCAGCGTATTTCCAACGCAATCGGCGCATTCGGAGCGCACAGCGCATGGCCATGATGTCTGATGTGGTCCCTGCATGTGCCCGTGTGCACTGGAATCAGCGCAATTCAGCGCAGTCGGTGCAACTCAGAGCAGCGCAATCAGCGTAATTCAGTGCAATTCCCGCATGCACTGAGAGGCTTTGTACGTGCGGTTTTCAATTTTTATGTGTTGCTTTGCGCCTCAGTCTTCATGGAGCGGTTCACGGCCCAGACAACAGGCACAGCAATAAAGAATTGATTCAAATTCAACTGAGTTGCTGATCGCGCAGGAGCGAGGGGAAGATCAAGTCGCGGAACAGGCGAGAGATATGCCCTGGTGCGCTGGGACCTCGCAGGCTCAAGCATCCAAAATTGTGGTTTGTGTTTTGCTTCGGGCATGTGGCTTTCCCTGTCGCAGGTGAGTCACTCACACAGACCAGGCTGCCCGGAGACGTGGACGAGAGGACGGGAACGTGGCCGCTTCATCGCGCCTTCATGGCTGGTGTTTGGGACACAGCCAACAAGGTGATGTTGATCTTCGGTGGGGCACTGACGCTTGAATCCGAAATCAGGGTTACAGATGATCGGCAGGTGGATGAGCTGTGGGAGTATGACCCGCTTACACCAACATGGACGGATCTCACAGCAACCTCAAAATCCAATTCGACAGAGTTTCCAGCAGCGCGCCGACTGCCCAACGCTTTCTGGGACTCCATCGGCAATCGCATGATCGTGGCACGGCTGCAAGTCCGCTTGAACTAACGTCCTTGCTAAGCATCGATAAGCTGTCACAGCCAGGCCATAGGATCGTGCATGGAAAGTGGCTGGCCAGTTCGAGTTGTTTTTATCTTGACCCTCGCCTTCTGCTCTCGGAAGGTCTATGGAGGCATCTCTGGTGCTGTCTTTGGTACCTTTACGATGCATGAAGATCTTTGGGCATACAGCCGTAGCTTCAACAGGTGGCACAAGATCGTGCAAAACGATCCCCTTCCTCCCGCCCGCTGGGCTGCACAGGTCGCTTGGACAGGAGCTGGATTGCTCGTGCCTCGGTGTTGTGGGCACTCTTTTCGCGAAAGTTGTGCCCTTCCTTCGTTCGACTTGACATTTCAGAGCGATGGGCTGCGCTTCCCTCGGCAGGTGTTCGGCGGACTGACCAATTATTCTAGCACTCGTGACGGCTGGTGGGAGTTCAGCATCGCCAGCGGAACGTGGCAGGAGGGAGAGCTTCAAGCCCCATCCGCCCCCAACTCGGATGAAACCGAAACCACGACACCCGAAGCCCAAGATGCACTTTCGCAGGAGATCTGGCCGAGAGATCCTGGTCTTGACGCCGCTGGTCTTTTTGCTGGTGGTGCAACAAACGGTGGGACAGCTACCTTTGAGCCGTGCAGGAAGGCCATGTTGATTCATGGTGGGGGCACCTTCTCGTTCTTCACTGCAGTTTCTCTGGGCACTGTCGAGTTCCGATTGGGCGTAGACGCCTAGGAGGCATTTCCTTGCTTAGCAGATGCATGTGGCTGAAGCTGTGCTCGCCACGTAAGCACCATAGCACAGGAATCGCCTTCCAAAGAGGGTCCACAGTCTCCATTTCATGTGGCACCGTGGGGTATGGAGACCCCTCGAAGGACCCTGCTACCACGGGGCCTATGGACTGGAGAGCTTCTATTTTGTGTTTTGGGTTTAGAGCTAATGTTACTTGTCAGGGCACGGCAGTTGGAGTCAATAGAGCCATACGCGGCCCATAGACCCCTCTTTACAGAACATGGTGATGCCTTCATCACGGCTGTCTAGAGTCTCAGTCCCCAACACAGAGCAGGGGTCTGACACGGCTACTCTGCAGCGAATTCTGTGAAGGATCTTTAAGCCAACGGCTTCATGTGGAGTGGAGCGCTTTTCTTCAGCCTGGCGTTTGGGGTCTAGTGTTCAGTCTGTAGGTTTGGACGTGCTTGGAGCCTGCTTGAAGCTCTCAGTTTGTTTCTCAGACTTGCGCTCTAATTCCCGTATAGCAGTGGGCATTACGTCCACTCTCCGACATCGCTTAACTTTTTCATCGAAGAGGCCTGGGAATGCGGACCGCGTGGATTTGACTTCGACGGATTGTCTGTGTCGAATCACCGGCTTTGCACTTTGGCATTTTGTGCTCATGAGGCTCCGAAGCATCCCTAATTTGCCCTTTGTCGCATGAGCCCTCGACAAGAGTTTTGGGTAAATAGAATCCCTGAGCCGATTCAAATGTCTTTCCGTGATGCTTGTAGCACCCCTCTACACCCTGCAGGATCGGGATGCTTTGGTTTGCTCTGACTTTCCAACTCCTCACGCCACGAACCAACCTTGAAAGCTTAAAGGTTGATGTGGCGGAGCTTGGCATTTAACCCTCGCCGTTCTAGGTCCATCCATAGACGCAGCTACATCGCGCAAACGAGCTTAAAGCCGAGGCTTGAGCTCTCAGCACACGAGTTCACCCCCACATGTTAAGTAGAAGCCATCTGAACAGTACGAAATATCCTGAAACCCCAGACCGTAAGCCCTAATCAAATTGCAGCTGCCTAGCCCGAGCTGCAAGCCAGAGCTTGGCATGGTGGTGTTTACAGTATGGGATTCCCATGCTTTCGCGGAGTTTTCGGCCAAAGCATTGAGTTCAGGGAGCGTTATTTTGTTGGACAGTCCTCACTATGAGTATGTTTTTGTTTTTGTTCTTCTGATGGTAATTGTGATTGAAAGTCTTGATGTTGGCGTTCATCAGCTTCTCCTTCTTGGTCTGCTTCTTCTTGCTACCGCTGTGATAGGTGAATCACAATGGCGCATGTTACTGCGCTTGCAACTATCACCCTGACCTGTCCTGAGGCCTTCGGGCCCTCAGGCAGAAGCCGTCCTTAGCCGTATAAGAATACCCGAACCCTACCCAAACCCTAAACCCCTGAACCCCACACCCGCATAGCCAAACTTAACAGGAGAAGTTGAAGCGAGCCAGGGCAAAGGCCAAGGCCAAGGTGGCGCCGGGGATTCGGATAGGGTCTGGGATTCTACGGGGTTCTCCGCAATTAATATAGAATACATGACATACGCGATACGATTTGTGTGTGTAATATTATACATACATATGGGGATATGGTCACCCCCCCTCCCCCGCACTGACAAACCGCGCCCCTTGAACCGCCTTCAGAATTCAAGCCCTCCTTTCGTCCCTGAGAAGACCAAAACAAGACAAACAAAAAGAAGATCCACAGAGACTCCCCACCAACATTTGCTTGTTTTTGTTGCTCTGTGTTTAGCAGGCTTCAACCCCCCAGCCTGGGAGCCGAAAACGGAAAATCCAGAGAGTATGCCGGAATTGTTTTGGTTTTTTGGGTGTGTGCCCCGGGTGCTGTGCAGAATTGGCGCTATATAGGAAAAACCCAGCAAAGCCAAAACCAAAGACCAAACAATTTCGGCATTCTCATCTTTGGATTGTTGGTCTCATCCTTCATCTTTGATGTTACGCGCTGCCCGCATTCTTGCCCGAAATCCCCATACGAAAGCCCTAAATCCTATACCATTTCTTTTTATAATTCGAAAAGTGTTGTTTGTGTACCGTGTTTTCTCAACAGTTTTGTGAGATGGCGGTGTTCGCACAATGTGTTACAGAACAAATGCATTCATCCAGCTCTTGTCCTTACACATGCCCATATTTCACGCATGTAACCTGGATCAGCCTCACACATGAATAATAATTGCATCCAATCGCTCAGAAGGATCACTCATCAACAATGTATTTTGAACAGTTCGATTTCTTGACAGTGATCTTTTCAGCCGGGCAGATTGCATATCAAGGTGAGTATGTAATTAGTGTTGTTGTTTTTTGTTTACGGCTTCGTTAGCTTTTTTCTGACACACACACAAACAGAGAAGCTTGTTTCTGGTTTACAGCTGCTTACAGTTGTTGGTGATTCATTACTTCATGCAGTCAGATACACCATATCGTTATCGTTTTCTGACACACACACACACAGGGAAGCTTGTTTCTGGTTTACAGCTGTTTACAGTTATTAGTTATTGGTGATTCATTACTTCATGCAGTCATATACACCATAAGCAGTATTATCATTAGAGCCAGTGTGCTAGTCTTCAGATCTATCTGTCAAGTCAGCAGCGAAAACAACAATAGCAGTAATACGTAGCAATCTCTGACCCACTTTTGTACTTGTCCGTGTTGGTATTGATACTGGAGCTGTAGTCGTCATGTGCCTATCCAATCTCCACTTCCGCTGTCGGTCATATGTAAACTACTCTTTATGCAATATTCATCGTATCAAGTGCAGTTTCACTATTACAATTCTCGCATCTACCGATGTTGTTATTGTTGCCATTACCACTATCCCTGTTACTCTGGTTAAAAGTTGCCATTCTGGGTACTTCAGTAATACAAACCCACTTAACACTCTGCACCTCCACTATTTTTATTATGAGTTCTGAAGTTGAAGCTTGTCTAGGTAGATTTCTCCTGTGATTCACTCAGGGAAATCGGTACACCGTTCAATATTCGGGTCTCTTAATTGTCAGTCTGGTGGGTAGGAATTCAGAGTTCAGTTTACATGTCATGTGTACAGCCCTGATCACTTTATCCGTGGCCATTTTGGCGATCAGCCGATCGGCCCGGATTTTGGATCGTCGGCGTGGGAACAGACTAGATCCTACCAGCCATGTCGTTCCCTCCCGCTGGTCCATGCTGGTCCATTCCGCGGATCAGATCAGCAGCAGGTTCCTCAGTTCGGACTGCCGAGGAGGCTCCCTCCGGCAGCCACCATTGGGCAGTGGAGGCTCTACACTCCGGGGCAAGCTCAGCCAGATCAACAGACGGCTCCCCCTGCAGCCTGTGGGGATTTTGCGACGGCCTGCCTGGTGGCGGCGCCTGTTTGCGGCCGATCGCGTGCCGGAAAATTGGGCGCAGGGGCAATCAACCCCTCTCTGTGCTGCCTGCGATCGCAGAATGGAGATCCCTGTCAGGGTGTGCCATGGGTCACGCCTCCTGCTCATCGTGCTCTCGGCCCCGCCTGCAGCCTGCAGAGCTTGCCACAGCTCCGGAATATCGCGATGCTGTGGCTCAGCCGATACAGTTCGCCGCCGAAGCGTGGTCAAAAGGGATCCATACGCGGCGCGGTGAGCCGCCTTTGCTCCGTGGGGTGCCGGCCGATCCTGCTGGCCCTCCTCAAGGAGGCTACGAGCTCGATGCTCAGCTATCTGGTGCGCCCCTCCGGTGATCGGAGCATCCGTTCGAAATAATGAAGATCTGAGATGTTCGAGTTTTGATCTGTGGCCGACTCCCATGCTGCGGTTGCACAAAAAGTTTGTGTGCGATCTTTGGCACAGTAAATGCACCGGCTGTTGAGTGAGTCCTACGTTTTTTCACGTTCCCACAAAGGTAAAGCTACCAGCTATTACTTTTCGAGTATTCACACCTGTGCTTGACCATTTACCAACTTACACTAAACACTCTTAACATAATGATGTTCCAATCAGGTAAGACAATTGTTTGAGAACTTGCTGACATGAAAGAGGATTGTTGGGATTGTTATCTTGTAAATCACAATTACCTTCCCCATCAAGGTTGAATGTGATTTCCAGTAGTGTGCAATGCTGTTGGGCTTAAACAGGCCAAGGTTGAACTAACCGAATGTCTGGATCTTTTGAAAGTCCATTGATGTGCAATGTATAATAAAGCAAACGTCTTGCGAAAGACTCAAACACACGTATAGTATGGTGGACATATCACATCATCAGCGACAGCGTAGGAACAAAGCTAACAAATCAAGACCTTAAAACGCACAAGCTTCTGTGCGGTAAGTTTAGCAGGACTCTAGGCTCGAGATAAAGATGCGCTGTTCAATCCACGCATAATACCCTTCAGCTCCTTGGAACAAAACCACTTCTATATCTTCCCTACGACGGTCTGTCATGGGGATGGTGGTGAGCTGACAAATGTACCTGTGCATTTCGCGTCTATACACATACATATGTACATACCAACCATTCAATCAGGATAACGAAAACTGCAGCTAGCTACTAGCTAGGACGATTATTGTTAATGTTAAGGTTAGTTTAAATATTAACTCAATAATAATAAATGAATTGCCAGACGATAATAGTGGTACATTAATGGCTTTTCCTGTTCGGCCCTGGGCGTCCAGTGTCAAGGCACGTGCTACAGATGCCGCCGCTACAAAGGCTGCGGGTGCACTGTTCTTCTGCTTATCCCTGCCATACACATGGGGCTGTGTGCAGTGAAGGTGTCGAACTCATCCCGTGTAGTGTTAGGAGATCCGATGCCAGGGTTGGTTGTGCGGCGGCAGCAGCATGTTATCCGACCGGGCACGCATGAAAGTTTGCAGGAACACTGACAACGAAGACTGTCCCCCTCCAAAATCGCGTATTGCCCTCTTCGGGCAGCCGTATTTCTTAGCCCGACGTTCATGTTGATCGTGGGAAAGCAAGGTTGACGAGAAGGCGTC